GTACCGGTGGGGCAGAGGCCGGCCTCAATGCTGCGAGGCCTGGCCGTGCCCTGAACCGTCAAGATGGACGGTTCAGCCCCAACCGGCGGGCGGCAGCCTCAAGAGCACCGCCAGGCCCAAACGGTAATGTCGTTTGGGCCTGCCCGTCGGGTCTGGTCCAAGGTAAGGCCTTTACGGCCTGTAGTACCCCCAAGGTCGGGCCTTTAGGCCCTACTGTGTCCCTCTAACCCTATGTCGGGTAGGACCCATGTGGCGTCGAAGATGTAACACACTCCCCCTCTTAAAAGACCGAGCTACTTGCGAGGGCGGAGTTGTCTGTCCGATACCGGGATGGGTCGGGTGGGACGAGCTGCTGCCTTGGCAAGTCGTGTCTTCTCATAGTTGGCGAAGATAAGGGGTGCAGAAGTCTGCAAGCCTGCACTAAAGATCCACCGAGTGTCGTCAGGCGCACATTGCTTGAATGTGACTTTGTACTGCATTGGCTTGTTGCCATACTTGAGGTGTGTGATGACTCGGTCCACTTCCTGATGTCCGTCCATGGAAGGCGGATCCTGTGATCGACGCCCGGGAAACTCGTCAACTGAAGGTGGCGTGTAGATGGCCAGCTTCGATGCGTGGAAGACCCGATGCACTGTAAGGTGCGGTGGAATGTTGATCACGAAGGAAGGACCTGCGGGGTCGTCTCCAACGACAGAAGTGACTTCCCATGGTCCGAACCATTTCGGAAGGAGTTTGCGCGAAACATCCTGCTCGAGCGCAAATTCCTCGGAGAGGACCCAAACAAGGTCTCCCTCGCGGAAAGGACATGGAAGTCGACGTCGGTTAGCTTGCTGTTGCATGCGGATTTGAGCCTTTTGCATATTCGCGCGGGCTTTGATCAGCAAGTCCCGGTACTTCCGAACGGAAGCGGGAGAGCAAGGGACGTCAATGTCGGCAGCCTGTGGCAAAAGGAGATCAGCGAAGATCCGTGCTTTCTCTCCACCATGATGTAGCTCGAATGGTGTGACGCAGATCGCCAGGTGCACCGAAGTGTTATAGGCGAACTCGATGTCGGGAAGCCGATCAACCCAATCTTTCTGGTCGGGACGGATGAGCGTACGCAACATCATCTGAGCGGTCTGGTGCGCTCGCTCCGTCTGGCCATCCGTCTGCGGGTGTCGAGCCGACCTCGGCTTCATTGTCGTACCAGACTCAGCCATGAGGGAAGCCCAAAAGGTCGACATGAAGCGAGTATCTCGGTCGCTCACTATGTCTTCCGGAACACCCTGGTTGGTAATCCAACCGGTGTGCAAGAGTCGTGCGAGCTCCGACGCTGCAGCATGATACTTGCAAGGAAGAAAGCGAGCGTACTTGCTCAAACGGTCAACGACCGTGAGAATGCCGTCATGGCCGTGGCGATCGCGGGGGAACGGGCCTGTCACGTCCATAGCAATGGAGAGGCGCGGTGCCCGAGGAATCAGCGACGGTTTCAGTTCGCCGAAGGGGACTCGAGATCGACCCTTGTTACGGTGGCAAACTGCACATGACTCAACGTACCTCGTGACGTTATGAAGGACGTCGGGCTAGTGAAAACGCTGGCGGAGGCGTGCTAATGTGCGGTTCACGCCAAGGTGTGCCGAAAGTCATGCGTCGTGGAATTCGCCGAGATGACGAGTCCGTAAGATGCGATCTTGGGGCTCAACTAACAAGTCCTTTCCTCTCGTGTGAAGGAGAAGGAACTCGTCGGAAATCCGATAGTGGCTAGCCGGCGGGTGATCCGATGAGAGCTCTGCATATAGCGTAAAGTAAGTCGGATCGGACTTGTAGCCTTTGACGAAATGCGGCTGCAGATCGTCATCGAGGTCGAATGCCGTGGTCACAATGGCACAAAAGTCGGGCCGTCGTGAGAGGGCGTCCGCAGCTCGATTGGCGGGACCGGGAATGTGGCACGGGTCAAAATCGAACTGGTCGATGTAATACATCCATCGACYGATCGTGCTARTGACCGTGTCCTGCGTTTTGTAAAAGGTCAACGGATTGTTGTCCGTATTCCATTTAAAACGCCGACGGCCGAGAAGAAAGTGGCGCCACCGTTTGAGAACGGTGACGAACGCGAGTAGCGCTTTCTTCCTAGCGTCGTCGAGAGTGTTGACGAGRGGCACCTTTTGGGAGAAATACTCRACCGGATGCSAACCSTCCTCGTGACACTRTTCCAACACCGCACCAATACCGTATCCCGAAGCGTCCGTAGTCACTTGGGTGGGTAGGGTGGGGTCGTATATACGGAGGGCAGGTGCGGCTTGCATTGCTGCCTTCAACGTAGTGAACGCGCCACGGGCTGCGTCGTCGAACTCAAAGGGCACCTTCGGGGACTAGAGTCTCGACAAAGGAGCAGCCACTTTCGAGTATGACTCGACGAATCGCTGATAGTATCCAGCCAAACCCATGAAAGAGCGTACATCCGTCGTACAACGGGGTTCCGGCCAATCCACGATGGCTTGGATCTTGTCCGCTAAGGGACGAATGCCTTTCGGCGTAACATAGTGGCCCAAATACTCAAGCTCTTGCTTGGCGAACTCGCACTTGTCGCAGTTCGCTTTGTACTTGGCCAGTCGCAAACGATTCAAAACAGCGCGAAGGTGTGTGATGTGCTCGTCCAACGTCCTGCTATAGACCAAGATGTCATCGAGGTAGATGAGGACGCCTCGATCGAGCAAGTCGCGAAACTCAGTCGTCATAGCTGCTTGAAAAGTTGCGGGGGCATTGGTGAGGCCAAA